GTTGATGCAACTGTTAATGTTGTTAATGTTGATGATATTGTTTGTGAAACTGTTAATGCTTTTGATGTTGATTATGATGTTGGTGCAACTGTTAATGTTAATGTTGATGGCATCGTTAATTCTAGTTGTGAATTTGATGATAATGTTATTGCTAATGATGTTGTTGAAGCTAATATTGATAATCATTTTACTATTGATATATTTGATCTACAAAATTGGGATGCTCTTGATTCTAACATGATTAATAATTTAGTTGAAAAGGGTCCAATTAGAGATTTATCTATCACTAAGGGACCCAAAGATCAATCATCGAGAAGGTTTTCAGCTGCATTTTACACTAGAATTTTACCAAATGGAGAGAAGTGTGATAGAGAATGGTTAGTGTATTCAAAGACACTTGATAAAGTTTTCTGTTTTTGTTGTAAATTATTTAAAAAGGGGATAGGTAAAAACCAATTAGCGAATGAGGGATTTGGAGATTGGGCACATGTTTCCATTAGACTTAGAGAACATGAAAGTAGTGCGGAGCATCTTAAGAATATGACTACATGGTATGATTTGCGTTTAAGATTGCAGAAAAATCAAACGATTGATAAAACTGCTCAAAAGCTTTTTGAAAAAGAAAAGGAGCATTGGAGAAAGATGTTGTTGAGAATTGTTTCAGTGGTGAAATTTCTTGCAAAACATAATCTTGCATTTCGTGGCACGAATGAGAAGTTGTATCAAAATAGTAATGGAAATTTTTTGGGCTTAATTGAGATGTTGGCAGAGTTTGACCCTGTGGTTCAAGAACATGTTCAACGTATTAAAAATGATGAAATTCAATATCATTATCTAGGGCATAGGATCCAAAATGAGTTAATACTCTTGCTTGGTTCTCAAATCAAATATGTAATTATTGCAAAAATTAAACAAGCAAAGTACTTTTCGGTTATACTTGATTGTACCCCTGACATAAGTCATCAAGAACAAATGTCTTTAATATTGAGATATGTGGATGTCTCATCAAACTCAGTTAGCATTGAGGAATCATTCTTAGGATTTTTGAATGTTAATGATACGACTGGGCAAGGACTTTTTAATGTTATGCAAAATGAATTGGTCTCTCTTGATCTTGATCTTGATAACGTAAGAGGGCAAGGATATGATAATGGATCTAATATGAAAGGAAAACATCAAGGAGTGCAAAAAAAATTGTTGGATATAAATCCTAGAGCTTTTTATACTCCTTGTGGTTGTCATAGCCTTAATTTGACTTTATGTGACATGGCTAATACTTGTGGTAAAGCTAAAGATTTTTTTGGAATTATTCAACGCATCTACACAATATTTGCAAATTCCACTAAAAGATGGCAAGTTTTGAAAGAAAATGTGAAGGGATTAACTCTTAAATCATTGTCATCTACTCGTTGCGAGAGTCGGGTTGATAGTGTTAAAGCTATAAGATTTCAGGTTTTTGAAATACGGGAAGCTTTACTTGAAGTAGCAGAAACCGACAATGATTCCAAAATTAGGAGTGAAGCAAAATCTTTAGCTGAAAATGATCTTGGTAATTTTGAATTCATTGTGGCGGTAGTTATTTGGTATGAAATATTATATGCTGTTAATTTAGTTAGTAAGGATTTGCAAATGATTGATATGCTTCTTGATGTTGCTATTGAAAAATTAAAGGGGTTGATTTCTTATTTTGAAAAATATAGAGAAAATGGTTTCTCAAGTGCCTTAGAAATTGCATCGAACATTTGTATTGAATTGAACATTGACGCGGTATTTCCTCAAAAGCGTCAAATTAGAAGAAAGAGGCAATTTGATGAGAATCCAAACGATGAATGTGCTAGTGTTTCCCAATCTGCACAGGAATCGTTTAGAGTTAATTATTTCTTATGCATTGTTGATCAAGCAATAACATCACTTACCGCAAGATTTGAACAATATCAACAATATGAGAATATTTTCGGATTTTTATTTACCTCCGAGAAGTTGCGTTTATTAGATGATAACAATTTGAAATCTTGTTGTGGTTGTCTGGAAGCATCACTTAAAAAGGATGAAAAATTAGATATTGATGGCAATGAATTATATGTAGAATTAAAGTTACTTAAAGATTTTTTGCCCATGGAGAATATGGGCCCTATTGATATCTTGAAAATTTTAAAACGTCTTGATTGTTTTCCTAATGCCGTTATTGCATATAGAGTTCTGTTGACTATTCCTATTACTGTTGCAACGGCGGAGCGAAGCTTTTCAAAATTGAAGGCGTTGAAGACATACATGCGGTCTACAATGACACAAGAGAGACTTAACGGATTGGCGTTAGTGGCAATTGAGAGTGATATATTGGAGAAGATTGCATATGAAGACCTTATCGAAGACTTTATTTCAAAGAATCTTAGGAGGATAGCACTATTTAAATAAGTGTAAGTTTAATTTCAAAATATTGGATGTAATTTTGATGCTTTTGGTGTATGAGTTGTATAAGAATTGCATTTGAGTATGAAGTATAATTATAAAATATGATATTACTTTTTATTTTATTGTTAGTATTTTGGTTTTAAATATTAGGGCCTCCGATTTTCCTTTTGAACAGGGCCTTCCATTAGTCAAGGCCGGGCCTGGGCTTGTGCAAGTCAAACTTAAAGGAGGCGAAAGTGTGGTTGCAACTTTTGGAAACAAATCTAATGTTCAAGAAAGGATAATCATGACTTATATGGATATTTATGGCAACATTGTCTCATTCCTGCAATTGAGGAGGAGGTCGAAAGGTTAGTTTTTGGCGAATCAACATGGGTAGAAGACGATGGTGGTAGTGGAGGTGGCACGAGTGACGAGAAGACGGGGAGAGGTGAAGGGCTGAGCAAGGGGGAAGACAGATCGACGGTCCGCCCCCCTCTTGAACCGCCGCCTTGGAGCGATTGAGATTCTAGGGTTTGGAAGACTTATCAGTTATTTAATTTTTTATGGTTTTATTTTCACGTTATGTTTTACGTTGTTCTGTTTTTTGTTGATGTATTTAGTTTTAGGTCTATAATAATGATTGACAATTCTGCTAGCTATTATCTCGTTAGAAAGATCTATATGGTCAGAGATTGCAATGTCACACCCGCTTGGTGGTCAGCGATACATATTGCTCTTTCAGAGGTGACCGTCTTTGAGTCTAGCCGTAGACTTGATAGTGCTAGTTGGTTAGAGATAGTTGTTGTCAGTGTTGGTCTATTTGAGTTTTTTGTAACGATCTGATTCCTAATAATATTAATATAAGAGGTTGTTTTGGTGATAAAAAAATTGCCCCTAAGTCCCTTGAATAACCGGGTCATTCTCTTAGTGACATGCGGTTCGATTGTACCAAATGTATTGTGATAAGAGAAAATATTAGAAGGGCAATGAGTAATTCACCAAGTCTGTAGTATAATATATCAGTATAATATATCATTTAACCAAACGAATTAATGTCACATTTCTTTAAGAGTGTATTACCCGAAATGGAACTAAAAAGCTTTGAAAATTCCAAAACAGGACTGCCATGTTTTTACTCCCAAAATAGGACTAATTACTGCCATGTTATGGCAGTACCAGACTTCAAACATGGCAGTATTTTTCAAACTTGACAGTAATTATTCCTATTTTGGGAATAAAAAACATGGCAGTCCTATTTTGGAATTTTCAAACTGTTTTAGTCCTATTTCGGGAACTTTCCCTTTCTTTAATCTTAACCAAAGTACCAAACACAAATGAGATACAAATTGAATACATTCCCATCAATTTAACATACCCAGCAATCTAACATTTCCATGGTCATCTGACATTTCTTGAATCAAACGGGTCCTTAGGTCATCATTATCCATACTTGTAATTCCATTCCATACTTTAAAAAGGGGGATTTGTCTTAATAGGACTAAAACATGGCTTTTTCCTCAAAATAGGACCAATTAGTTTAAACATCCTTAAATAAGACTTTTTATTTATGAATGGACAAAAATAACCTCACTTCTGCCCCTGGACTGCCGCCTGCCGCCGACCACCTACTGCCACCGTCAGAGTTCACTGCCGCCGCCACCATTGCCGCCGTGTTGTCACCACCACCGGACTGCCCCGCCCCCAACAGACTGCCTTGGTTGTGCATGAGAAATATGAGAAGCAGTTATTTAGATCAATTAATAATTAATTAATTAGGATTGGGGATAAAAAAAAGTAAGATACTTCGGAAAAACATACGTGCTAAGGCTGAGTCCGAAAACCGAAAACCAAATCAAATTAAACCGAACCGCAGCCACATAAAACCGAACCGCTAAGAAATCGAAACCAAATGTAAAAAACCGAACCGAACGGAACGGAACAAACCGAACTACTTAAAATATGAAATTTATATGATAATTGTTAAGCATTAATTCTAATTAATCTTAATATCATCAATAGTCTTTGATTTTCTTGTGTTAGAGAAATAATGTTTGAGTTATGTTTCTTAACTTAGTGTATAAATTCATGTACACATTCATTATCTCTAATAATGTAGATATATTGAATCATGATAATATGTGTATACTAGTTATTACTTATTAGTAGTAATTAACTTTTATTTTTAGATTACTTAAAGATTTTATATTGATAAAACAATAAATATTCATCTCAACTATATCACATAGAACATATATATTCATGAACTTTTTTCGTACTACTCACAAACAAATTAAATCAATAATATATACAGTTTTATCTATCTCGCATACGCATATAATTCAAGACATATTTATATCTTCTCATTTTTATTTTATTTTATTTGTTGTTGTATTGTGCTTGCATTCTTTATGTAATAAGTTTGACTTCCCTAAGTATTATATCAATTTTAAATCAGGTGAGATTTTTTTGGTAAAAAATCGAAAAAAACCAAAACCGAACCAATCAAATCGTGGTTCCAAGTTTTGGAGTGTGAAACCGAACCGAAACCGAACTTTTTACTTTGATTCAATTTTTGGTTCCAAGTTTTGGAGTGTTAAACTGAACCGAAATCGATTTTTTTATTCAATATTTGGTTTTAGGTCAAAACTGAGAAAGAAAAGCAAATATTAAACCTTTTTATTTCTCTGTGTGACCACAAGAGGTGGGTGTCGTCATCTTCTTCGGGCCTTCACCTTTCCTGCTTCAACAACTGGTAAGTATTAAACCAGACCTCGAATTCTTTTCCCCTTGTCATCTGATTTCATGTAGAAGCTGATATGTCTTCTCTAATAAGTATTTATTTTGTTATATATTCTGTTAATTTTAGTGTCACCGGCCATTTTGTGTAATTGGAAATACCATGAGCGCCAATGAGAATTAGAACTATGATCTAATACAAGTTAGTAGGTGTGGAATGCACACTTGTATATAAGAACTAGTTTAATTTCAAAGTGTCTACGTTAGTGGAATCCGAGGTAGAACTTGAGGTATAACTTTCAGTAGATCAGTTCTGTGGTTCTAGACCGAGTTCTAGAACGGTTAGGCAGTTTCCAGCAGTTTCCCAAAAACTGCTGCGGTGGTTCTTAAACGTGTTGCAACTGCCTAAGACGGTGTATATGGTCATATGGATATATATCACCATATTTCGTACAGAGGAGGTAGAAGAATAAGATCCGACATATCTTCATCACTTTGGCACTCAAATTAAATATAACAATCCATATACTCACTAGTTTGACTCTAGTTCTTGTGCCTAAGTTCTAGAGTGTCCTTAAGGATTATCCTAGATTGAATTTCTTGTAACCCAGACATAGGGGAGAAATATCAATTCGGAAAGTGAACTTACACGATCCTTAAGATATCCAAGTACTCAATTATCATCCCCTACCTTATAGACCCCAACATATTCATCTACCTGCATGCTTAGTAATTGCACAAAACCCTTGACAAGTTGTAACCTGTAAGCAATATCCGCACAAAATAGCTATTTTCCTTTGAATGAGTATGTCTAGTTCAATCCCATCTTTAAAGCACACGATGTCATTCTCATCTTAGGTGCATTGGTGGTCTGGTCTTTCCTTACTAACAGCTGCTAGTACTTTGATGGTTTTCTGCACCATGAAGCTCAGTTTATACGCAATAAATGCCTTTCTTGACCAGTTTGACACACACGTTTGCCTTTTACATGATTTTAGAAGAAGAGATTGTTCTGTTCCTGAAGATTTGTCTTTCCTACCTTAGGAAGGCAGTGGAGGTGAATATATAGCAGGAGTCCTCTTGGAAGATTTCCAAACCAGAGGACATGTTCTGCTCAACTTTCTTTTGTATGTTTTCTCACCACTTCTAACTTGAGTTTCAGCAGTGCCTTCCAGAACTTCTATATTCACAGGGTGCCCTATGATCTCCTTTCCATTTAGCCTTCTCATCATGCTGAGGAGGGGAACATCCACTCCTTGGTGACTTGCTTGAACTTTAATGTTCACATGATCACATCAAATAGAGGAATCACAGCATCTCCTTTGTAGTAAAAATCACAACGCCAATCATCATCTGGACCCACATCTCCTATGCAAACCTCTTTGATATATAGTTTTCTTATAGGTTTGAGTTGTTCAGATATGCCAGAAGAGGCAGTCTTGTCACCACCATAGGACTCAGAGGTGTTTTTTAGTCCCTTAAGGAGCAAGAATGAACTGATTTCCTAAAAAAATCTCCTGATTCAGAAGAAAAGTATGCATACTTGCTTCCCTTTACCCTTGAACAAGTTTCTTGTTGCATCTCAATCCCTGGCCTTTTAAGTTTCTTTTGCACCAACTGCCTCTCAAGATCAAGAGCATGAAGAATAGCATTTTTTCGGCGTATGCACTTCAGATCTGTGGTTAAACCAAAATCTTTTGAGAATTCGATCTTTCTAATGCAATCTTTTGCACCAACTGCCTCTCTCCCTGACCTTTTTTGGTTGTTTTTCAGATACAAAAAACCAATACACACACACACATTATCTTATACTCCGTGCCTCCGTCGTTGATATATGCCTTGAACTGAAATGCAAGTTAAAGGCATTTCAAAATATTCACTTATCTTTAGTAAAAACATCAGTGTCCTATTTTTAAAATATAAACAATCAAACCATGTCAGTGCTAATGGCTAGCGTATCATCAAAAGCATAATACATACCCTTAAGACTATATATCATGACATCATCTTGAAGTCTTGATCGGGTGTCTGTGAAGTTCCCTGCCACTTTATAGTCCCAACACACTTTGTAAAGTTCCCACTCCCCAGCCGACTGTTACAATTTCCATTTACTCTGCTTTTGTCTATGACATTATGATTAAAACTTATGTTAAATCCATATGTAAACTTATTTGCAGTCCAGATTTTTCAAAACTTAATGTAAACTTATTCTAGTCCAGAATTTTCTTGATTTTATGTAAACTTATTTTCAGAAATTTGTGTGTACTTGTGTTACCCTGCGAAATTCCCAGCAAAGTCAACTGTATTATGACCCAAAGCATTTTGCTTTTGTGAGTTTGTCAGTTTTATCTATTTTAACTTGACTCTATTTTCATCGAAATTATTATCGATACTCCTTGCAAAGTGTAGTAAAAATCTACTTTCCAACTTTGTTTTGCATTTATTTTTCGTTTACATTTCTTCTTAAAGTGTAAAGTTTCGAGTACTCTTATGACCCAAAGTACTTTGCTTGTGTCTATTTTCACCCAACATCACTCCAATTTTAGTGTAAAAAGATATAAACTGAACACTACTAAACTTACTGGAAATGTAGTTTATGCATTAGTTCTAGGGTACTATCTTCAATTATTTTAAATATAAACTGAAGACTACTAAATCTACTGCAAATCATCCAGTTTGGGCAGATTGGAAGCATTAAGTAGAAGAGTTAATGTTTGGTTTCATTTGGAGCCAACCCGTGGAATTGTAACCTAGTTAGTATTTTTCTATTGTGTGGACTGTTTTTTTCCGGTTAGATTTGTCAGTTAACTATTTTGTATGGTCGTGCTTAGAATACGATGGTTTACAAGAATCGTGAGTGGATGCAATTCAAAAAAGCTGACCCCAGGTACAAGATCGGCGTAAAACAGTTTCTAGAGTTCGCTTTTTCACAAAAAAGCATGCATGACATGGTTCCTTGTCCATGTATGAAGTGCAATAATGAAAGGAGGAAGGGTAGGGATGAAATAGAACTGGATTTGATTAAACACGGAATTGTTAAGAATTATACACGCTGGTTGCGGCATGGGGAAAGCATTGAGGAGTGGACAGATCATAACAATAACAAAGATGCATCAAATGAATTTACAGAGCATGCATCTATGTCTCCAATGCTACATGATGCATTTAAGATGCCGAGGGAGAATGGTGCAGATGATGGTGAAGCTAATGCCAGTGAGTCCAGAGATCCTACAGAAGTAGCGAATAACTTCTACAAGTTGATGGATGACCTTGAGTTAGAGCTATATCCAGGTTGCAAGAAATTCTCAAAGTTGTCATTCTCGCTTAAGCTACTCCACATAAAGTGTTTATGCGGAATAAGTGACAAAGGCATGGTCATGCTCCTTGAACTATTTAAAGATGCATTGCCTGAGGGTAACACATTGCCAGACTCATATTATGAAGCTCAAAAAATTATAAAGAGCCTATCTCTCAAGTCCAAATAAGCTCAGCTCACCTGCGGTTTGTTCGGTAAGGGGGTAGGCGGTGACTAAGATATTGAGCTCAGCTCAAGTCCCCAAGAACGAGATTGGGAATCACTGGGATGAATATACATGTTGATGCTTAATACCTAATTTATGGGTCTTGCTTAAGTGACAGTCTAGATCTTTGTTTCAAAAGTAGTGTTGGCTAAAAAACAATTGATGCTATTTTTTTTATATTAGTCCATCGAGACATCGAGTACAAGAGTTATTAAATATTTAAATGTTCAAAACTTAAGAGTGGCCTTTAGGGATTGTTAGCGTATGATTAATGTTTGGCCTATGTATGAAAAAATTCATATATGAATTTAATATACATTGGCTCCATCTCCATTATCTGAGATTATATATATAAAGGCTTTAGATTAAGTAAAAACAAGTCTTAATGCGATAAATGTGAATGATTTTTGTGCATTGGAATTGAGATCGGGCGACTTTAAAAGGGCTAATGATGCGAGGAAGCGGTCGAGCCTAGCTGGTCGCCGACTCACTCTCCCTTACGGGAGGTCTCGGGTTCAATTCTCAATGGAGTGAGATTGAACCCAGTTTACCCCAGGTCCCCCAAATCTCCCTCCCCTGACGCCCCCTAGGGTAAAAAAAAGGCTAACAATGCATCAGATTTTGTTAAAATTATGTTGGCATTTTCGCAATTAAGTGAAATATGTTTGTGTGTTGTGCATTGAAGTTGATAAGTTTGTTTGTTTTAAAGAAATATGATATGTTTGTTGGAAATATATATGTTTGTTTATATTATTGTGCAGAGGGCCTGTCTTGTCTATTTATGGGCCTATGGGCGATACGCTTATTCGGGCTTATATCCAAGATAAATCCTAAATCACATACTTATTAAGTTATTTTACATATAAATTAGGAAAACGGGTCAAGTAAGACCTTCTACTATAATGAAATCGTCACATAAGAGCATGTACGCAATAAAGTGTCAAATAAATACGTCTACTTATAAAAAACAATCAGATGAGTCATAACAACCCGTCGGCAACCTCCTAATCTCGATTTTATCTTACATGTCGTTATTTTTGCCTTGTATTTAAGTCAATCCTAGCTAAATATTCCACATTAGCCTTATAATTTGTTTTAAAAAGATAGTCGGGTGTACGCCAAAATCAGGGTTACGGGGTTGTCAAAAGGTCGTTAGGACTCATTTGATTGCTTTTTATGAGTAGTCGTATTTATATGACACTTTATTGAGTACACGGCCTTATGTGACAATTTTGTAATAGTAAAAGGCCTTATTTGACCATTTTCTCTATAAATTATAATAAAAGTATCTAACGAAGTTCATAAAATAAAGGCGAGGATCACTTTATTATTATTTAAGTTACATAGTTAGGCAAAAGTAACGACACGAGTATCGAATAAAAAGAAAAAAATTACTTTAAAATGTTTCTCGTAGAACAATGTGAAGCAAAACTCATAGACAATCTTCTTTCCACTAATAATTAAGTATGACAAACAATAAAAACATCACATATAACCACACTAAACTTTCTTTTAGTTACAACTCAAAAGATAAATGAAAATAAATATTACTACATATTGAATTCATAAGTTGAGAATGATTTATTGACCGCTAAGAATTTAAAGTTTGAAGTCTCGAAAGAATGAAGGTTTTCAAAGACACAAAATGTTTGGCCGCCAAGAAGATTGCCAATTTGTCATCCTCTTTAACTACTATTAGGAACTCAGATATAGTTTTTTTCAATTTGGAAACAAATAAATAATTGGCATGAGATTTGGGAGCCACGGGCTCTAAAATAATTATATAAATTTGTTATGTTATATTAAAATGAATATAAAACCTTAAAGGCTAAAGAGATGTGAACAGTGAAGAGACGTGTCTTTTATTGATCCAGCAACAGTTGTATTGCTTTTAAAAAACTAAAACCGGTTCTACTTAAGATTAAATTAATGTATATATATTGTTTTTTAAACTTGGTTCTGTTTAATTTTTTTTATATATGTTTTAAATTTTCAAATTGTCAATAAAATTAAACATTGGGCCTAATTAATTGAACTTAAGAATAAAAAAAGAAGCCTACTCACACAATATACAAAGAAAAGATTTTGGGCCTATTTTTTCTTCTATATCTTTTTGAGCCTAGGGCGGTCGCCCCTGTTGCCCTCCCCCTAGAACCAGCCCTGATTGTGCATATATTTCACTTTCAATTAAAATATTGCCACATTTAAATAGTCAAAATTAATATAATATAAATATATTACTATCATTTGCATCGAACGGTACTTACTAGTTCATATAAAATAAAATGCTAAGAGTATCATTTTTTGACATGGTTAACTAACATTTTTGTGTTTTTCGTCTATGCACGGCTAGGAGTCATATTTTCTCAAAATTAAATTAATTGAAATATGGTACACACACATAACCAAAATAAAAAAGTTAGGATAAAAATATGAACTATTATATGAAGTAATATACATACATATATAATCAAAATAGAAAAGGTGGATAAAAATGTAACCTATTATATAAAGTAATCATAGTAATCACTCTATATAATTGCACTAGTTATATTAATACGTAGTACTTTTTAATGATTATAAGTTTATAACTATGTTCATTTTTACGAGAAGAGAATGTAAAGGTTTCGGCCGATTTTTTTCTCTCTAGAGCCAGTCGGCCTAGGTTTGTCCGGTGGCGGTTCTTAGGCACGCCACTGCACTATTATTTGTTGTAGTTTCTTTCGTTTGGATTGGTTGGAGCTATGTTTCGTTTTGATTTGGGTTTCAACAAGAAGGGTTCGTTGTTGAAGGAGAGCAAAGCAGGGCGTCTCTCGGTCTAGTTCTCTGTAGATTCTTCTCGCTGCAACCCCGATTCATCGGCAGATATGGAGGTGGAAACGAGTTTAAGATATTTGTTTGATTTTTCTCTTTTCGGTCTGGGAAGCTTTGTGGACAAATACAAGACGGTGGCGATTGGCGCAGAGAATGAAGAATTGGATCTGAATAAAGCTGATGTTGAAGTTCTGGCAGATTAACGGCGGGCACTTCCCCCTCCTGAGCCGCCGCCGTGGAGTGCAAGCAAATCTAGGGTTTGGAAGAAGACGAGTGAATTCTGTTTTAATTTTGTCTTATTCAATTTGTGTTTTTCTGTCGAATTGTATGTTGTTTGGTTTTGTTTTGGTATTTGTTTTTTCGTTTATTTTTCAGTTTGTAAGATGACGTGCACTCTGTCGTGTGTGCACTCAAAATAATTCAATACTAGCACTAATACGTAGTATAGTGAAGTAGAGTCCGTATCCACAGGGAAAGGAATAACTCTCTTTTTATGTAACTAGTAAATAAAGGGGGGTTTTGATTTTGTGATTTAATTAAATTAAACACGAAGATGAACGAGTTATATGGGTTTTAATTCAAAGATAAAAGAGACTTGGCATTGCTATTCCCACTTGTTGATATATTTTAGTCGATCATTGTTATATCTATAACTTATCTCCTCTCGAATACTCAATCGATGAGTATATCCAATTCATCGAGGATAGCTATTAACAACGACCATTCATTAATAACCCTTACTATTAGTCAAGTATAGAACAACGCCATATACCGACTTGATAGTAGCATTTAATCTCTTAACTCCTTGATGAAATCAATTGAGATTGATAACCTCAACACAACGGTTTCGGTTTAACCAACAAAATTAATCCCTCTTAAGTTTATTAACCACGACCGTGCATTAATAAACCAAAGTTATTTACTTGTGAAACTATCAACGATTAACCATCGGTTCGTTGATCGTTTCTAGTAATAATTAATATATGAAACAAAACTAGTTGATCCTTTAAGTAATGTTCAAAATATTAATATGAAATATGAATAGGAATTAATTAATACTCAAGGAAGAATATTAAAGAAAATGAATCCTACTAAAGTTAATATCAAGATGTTAACTAATTGTCATCTTAGTAACACTCCCCAATATTAACATAGAGGAAGGAATAGCTATTACTAAGACCAATGTCAAGATGTTAACTAATTGTCATCTTAGCAACACTCCCCAACAATGATATAGAAATAGTATTTTAAGGAAGAATTAATATTCAAGGAAAGAAGTTAAGAAAATAACTCACAACTTTAATAATCAACAAGCTTCAAGAGCAATACCAAGAAATGGAAGTTTAGCTCCTCATTTGGAGACTAAACATGCTAAAAGAAATATAAAGAAATGTTATTCTAAACTGAGGTTAAGAGTATAAAGGGATTGGTGTCTAATTGTGAAGGAAAGGAGGTGTATTTATAGGACTTTTTGGGGTGCAGGTCGGGTACTCGATCGAGTATATACAGATACTCGATCGAGTATGTGTAGAAATTCAAACTCGGTCCATACTCGATCGATATTCGAGTAAAATTTATAGCTATACCCGATCGAGTATGTCGGTGTACCCGATCGGGTATAGACATTCGATCGTGTCAAAATCTTCCCTGCATGTTCCTTTGTTTTCGGATCCGATCCGATTTGAAATTTCAACAAGATACCCGATCGAGTATAGATGATACTCGACCGGGTATAGACCATAAAATCAGGAACAATTCTTTGTCTTGTGATTTTGCACCTTCCTTCCACTTTTGGGGTTCACCAACTGTCCTTTGAGTGATAGTAGACCTGTTTGAGCTCAGAATAAACCTAATCTAAACAATTTACAAGAATTTAACAAACTAAACTATTACACCAAAAGTGTGTAATTTCCGAAATATTAAACGACCAAAACTAACTAAAAACGTAAATAAACACACGGAAATTACAAGCGTATCAACTCCCCCACACTTAGTTCATTACTCGACCTCGAGTAAAATAGAAATATCAAACAGTTTAAGAGTTCTCCAAGAGTTCAAGAAAGAAAGAAACTAAGACCACCAAGGGGAAAAATGAGGTTTTACAACAACATTCTTTCTTGGGTTTAATGATCTTCTATGCTCCATCTCCTTGCCTCTTTTTCTTCTTCTCCACTTCTTCTTTCTGAGTCCTCTTATTCTCCAAAGAGATCAAATGAGTGCCTGCAAAAACAAATATTTCTCTCATATCTCTCATTTTGCCTAGGAGCCTTTTCAGGTTTTCATCCTAGCATCTCTTTTCATTTTCCATTCTCCCCACTCACTCATTTTTTTTATAAGCCCTTTTTGCTTAGATTGCCCATTTTGTTGGGTTTTCAACCTAACTAGCATTTCAATTCTTTTATTTATTCCCTTTTTTTTGTTTACAAAGAGTAAAAGAAATTCATTCATAGTAAAGGGTGAAAATAAAGTGGCATACCCATGATGAGTCTCCTCCCCCACACTTATGTGAAACACTGTCCCTAGTGCCCACCTTCTCCGCCATAGTAGCTGCCTCCAAAGCCG